ACTACAACCTCCACCTTCCAGGTTCAAGTGATTCTTCTGCCTCAGCCTCCTGAATAACTGGGACTACAGGCACACACCACCACGCCCAGATAATTTTTGTATTTTTAGTAGAGATGGGGCTTCACCATGTTGGCCAGGATTGTCTTGATCTCTTGACCACATGATCCACCCGCCTCGGCCTCCCAAAGTACTGGGATTATGGGTGTGAGCCTGGCTTTTAGGCTTATATGTTGAAATTGTTTGTGTAATTTCACATTATAGTTATTTGGGTATATATTATACATCATATCCAATCAAATGAGTGTGTGCGTGTGTGTGTGTGTGTGTGTGTGTGTGTATACACTTATCTGTAGGTACATATGTTAAAATTGTTGTAATATTTTGAGTTGAAGAAACTATGTGCCTAATAGAAGAACCTCGAATGAAATTCAAAATAGTAAAATGGCTATTGTAGATGAAATTTCTATGAAACTTACTGAGTTTAAGTGTTTTCAGCATGCTAATAACAACATTGTATAACTAGAAATATTTTAAATTATGTCTTTATATTTATTTTTATCATCTCTTAGTCCTTTTATTTTCTAGGAGATGTCCAATAATGCTTCTATTGAATTTTTCATATATACTAGAATGTTTTTAATTCCAGAGTTTCATTTAACTTTTTAACGTAGCATCCTATTTATGTCTCATAGACTGTTGTTCCATATCTGATACTTACAAAGTTTTCTTCTCCCAGCATGAATCCTCATTTTTTCCACATTACTGTTTTGTCTTGATAAGACTTTTCTCAAAAGCCTACCAATTCTAGATCTGTGTTTTCATAGAGAGTAGAATATTAAAAATTTATAAGTTCTATAAGTATATATGGAACTGGTGATGGTCTCCTTTGTTGTACCATGATTTCAGTGATGCCAGCATCCGTAGGTCTTTTCTCCTAGATTTATCAAATTCCAAGAGAAAACTCTACTAGTCATTTGCCTACAGAGGGTGTGTCTGTGAATATATATAGATGCGTGCACACGTGTGCGTGCACACACACACATACATACACACACACACACACACACACACCCCTTTGGATTATATTTATACACACACATACACAGTCATCAAACTTTCTGGAAGCCCAGTGGGGTAAGAAGGACCTAGGGTTGCAGTCTCAAATTTTAGCATGTGCATTTTCATTTAATGCCCCTGTTCTTTGTAAGGTGCCTCCTCTTTCAGGAGGACATGGCATGCCCTCGTTCAGGAATATTCTGATTTACTATAATCAGAAAAGTCTTCTAGAAGTGGGGAAAGACAGCCACCCAGCTACAAGAGGCAAGAAAGTAGATTTTGGGGACCAATTATAAAATAGATTGACTGTCAGTTAGATTTCCTATTTTTAGCACCACCTTCAACCCTTGTTTCCAGAGGTTCTTGATGCTTCTCATCCCTGAGCCTTTTGGGGGTTCAGCAATATAAATATGGAAGCTTCTTGGTCCCCCCCCAAACCGCATTTGGATTCAGCCTTCTCAACATTTAATTATTTCTTGTTCATTTGTATTCTAGCATCCAAAAATTTGTTCATCTTGTCTCCTTTCCGTTTTGGTCCTTATGAGGACATTCCTGTTTTAAAATGACTTTACTCTCATTTTAGTGAAGTTTTGATATTAATAATTTGAGATCTTTTATTCTTATGGGGTTATTCCAGGTTTGTAGATTCACAAGTACTGCTTTGTCTTTGATTACAGGAACTACTTCCAGTAGCAATACAATGGTAGCTCCCACAGATGGCAATCCAGATAATAAGCCCATTAAAGAGAATATTGAAGAGAGGTAAGTACTTCTCTGCTCTTTATTAGCCTTTCAGTTTGACAGATACTGGTTGTCATCAGAATAAATGATATTTTCTACATTGAAATGTGGATGTTGCTATGTTAAAGTTCAAGTGAAAAAAATATTATTTCCAAACTGAAAATTTTCCACATTGAGAGCTTAAACATTAAAGATGCTAGCCTGCTAGATTTTGTTATATGCTGTAATGCATAAATGGGTGGTGTATAGTAAGTCACTTTTTGTATGCTTAAAGTTTTAGATGTATATAAATGGTATTTATTCCACCTGTTTTATATTCTAGAATATTATTTTAGGTAGAAATAATTTATTAAAAGTTTAAGCTTTTGGATTATAAGGTGGAAATCAATATATATCATATTAAACTTTTGTTAATATTTTGTGTACTGTTGTCCTTTTTTAAACCTAGCAAGTGAAACGTAAAGTATAAATACTATTGCACTATGAACTGTGACTAACTTCAGATATCATTCCCATAGCTATGTGCACCTGGACATCTACAGTGGACTAAACAGTCATTTGAATCGGCAACATCACAGACTAGAATCCCGATACAGTAGCAGCTCTGGAGGATCTTATGAAGAAGAAAAAAGTAATAAATTCCAAATGTTTTTAATATAACTCTAAGGGTGAGGTATATTGTTAATTACATTAATGTTAATAAATGTATTTTTTCAGTAAATTGTTTTTAAAAAGTGTATTTAACTGCCACTAGTGGTGTTCCAACATAATTTGAAACATCTTGATTTTAAAAAGCAACATAAGTGGGGGACATTTGTTTTTTAAACACAGGTTTCCTATAGATAAGTCACAAGGAACGTAAGAACTGGTTCTCAGGAAGCATCATAGAACAAATACTGGAAACAGGCTGATCTTTTTAGCAGGATTGCTCCTTCTGCATGAATTTACATATTCCTGTAAAGATTCTCCTTTGCAATTGCAAAGTGAATAATCTACCCAAGTTTCACTATAATGTTAAGGTAGGGTATCACAGAAGCACAGCCTTTCAGACTGGAAAGGGACCCTGAAGATGATCTGGTCCAATCTCCTCATTTTGCACATGGTGGAACTGAGGTCCAGAGAGGTTAAGTGACTTACCCACGTCACACAGAATTCACATTTCCTGACAACAGTTTTGACTGCACCCCACAGCCCCGCTGTGGTAGAGCAGAGTTCCTTTCAAGATGGAGCTGTGTTGGCCCCATCTCAGAATATTTAGAAGTGAGTAACTTACCAGAAGGCCTTTTGTTACAAGGCAACTTCACCAATAATGTGATCTCCTGGCTTGGACATCACTGATGGAATCACAATGAAATGCTAATATAGTTTTGCTTTGACATACAGGGTGGAACCTAAATTGATCTCTTTCTCTCTTTCTCTCTCTCCCTCTCCCTGGATTGCTTACAATATTTGTGCCTAGACCTTCCTAGCAAACATATGTTGAAATAGTGGGAAATTATTTTTTTATCACTTTCCAATACTATATAAATAGTCGGGATCTTACTAGAGTTTGCTTATATTGGCAGAAATTAGATGGTGTAGAAAATGAGATCATTTTATCTTGATAGGTGATTCAATGCCACTTTATTCTAATTGGCGACTGAAAGTGATGGAGCATAACCAAGGAGAGCCACTGCCCTTCCCACCAGCTGGAGGCTGCTGGTCACCACTGGTGGATTACGTGCCTGAAACGTCATCACCTGGATTACCTCTTCACAGGTGGACTACAGCGTCATTCCTTTTTCCTATGAGCCAAGTTGCTGCTGAACACTGTCGGCTTTCTTTATGCTATCTGACAACACAGAATAAAAGCAATCTTCTTTATGGAGATACTGCAACATAGATCAATGTGTTTAGATTCTAAGAAACCTAAAAAACTCAGAATCCTAACAACTTTACAAAATTAATATTATTAAATCTAATTCTGCTGCTGCTTTTCTGGGTGTCTGGCATAGTTACTTGACCTTTCTGGGACCCAGTTACTACATCTGAAAAATACGGCTTTCTTATGGTAGGCACTATTATTTTGCATCAACTTAAACTGAATTCTACTTAGCAAAATCACAACAGAGCAATTACTGCATTCTTTCAAAATGTATTAATGCACCAAACACATATTTGAACACCTACTGTGGCAAGCAGTGTGCTAAGTCTCAAGGTTGAAAGATGAAGAAAATGTGGCTCCTGAGTTCAAGGAGCCCTTAGCCCTTATGTTCTGTTCCATCTCTTTAACTTAATGGTTAACGTTTTCTTCAGCTGTATTTGTTTTTCCTCCTCTTTCCTTGATAAGTTGTGTTTTTCCATGAAATGCAAAATTAAAGTCTTCAAGTAATTTCGTACCAAATTTTCTCTAGGTTTACTGAGATCTAGTAAAACGTTAATGAAACTCTTATTTGTCATAGGTGTAACATAGCAGTGATCCTTTTGACTGATCTGATCATTGATCATAGTGTGAAGGTGGAATGGGGAAGCTACCTCCATCTTCTTCTTCATGCAGTTTTTATAGGTAATAAATATTTGGTTCTAATTCTTTCATTTTATATTTTTATGATAATTTATGGTGTTAAGGAAGTTTTTACATGTTTCTCTTTCCTGTTATTTGTATGTTATTTCCATGACACTTTTCACTATGATTCCTCTGGTCTATTGGGGAGCTATTCCTGACTTCTCTTCTAACCACAAACATGTCTGTTACCCCCATACCCTTCCATAAAAATGTCTATTATCCCCTATTCCTGTCCTATGGCTTCACCTGCCCACACACAAACACACATACTCTACCAAGGAAAAATTCTATTGCTGTGGCAAGAGTCAAATTAACTTACCTCTGGGATTGCAAACTTTCAGAGTAAATGAAAAGTTGAAATACATTCTAGGTATTTCCCAGAAGAATTGGATTATTGGGTACACTGATTATTACACCTGAAAATTATCACACCTCAAACTCCATCATACCTTCTGTGACAAACAGGTGGGATCTATCATATCTATAATGCATTTGATGCTTATAGGATTGGCTTCCTGAAGCAAGTCAAGATAGCCATCTCCTTATAAGTTTTCCTGATGTGTACCCTTATTGTTGGTGTATTACTTTATTCCTTCAGTTAATCACGTACTGACTTTGTTACGTGCTAAGCACACAAAAAGCCTGCCTTTAAAAAAAATTTCATTTCCACAAAATTTTTTTTGTTATGTAGCAGTAATAATTTTTAAGGGATCACTAAATTTTAGACATGATTAAATTTAAACACATTTAACTTATCTTGAGTCTCCCTAGTAGCATAAGGCAGTAGGCTATTGTAAAAGTATATAAGAACGGCAATAAAAAGCTATAATATGTCATCTTCCATGAAATCTTTCATATAATTTCTCCTTTTCTTCAAAATGTGAGTTTGGTAGTAAGAATACTTACTATTTCTCTTTATTGATGATGTTTTTCTACTATCCTTTTTAGGGTTTGACCACTGCCACCCTGAGGTGTATGAACATTGTAAACGCCTGCTTCTGCACTTATTAATAGTAATGGGACCCAACAGTAACATCCGCACTGTTGCTTCTGTCCTTCTCAGGAACAAGGAGTTTAATGAGCCCAGGGTGCTTACAGTCAAACAAGTTGCACACTTAGATTATAATTTCACAGGTATTTGCTTCAAAAGTACAATTTGAAAGTAGAATTATACTTTATTAATTTGGAATCCTGCATTAGAGAAAGTGAACTAAGTAAAAGTTGAAATACTAGAGAACATTTTAAAAATATTGTTGTATTATTTTAAATACCATTTAAATTCTTTACTAATAAAAGAAGGGATTAAATTTAAAGTATTTGAGTCTGCGTTACCTCGAAGGATCTTTATCACAAGATTTAAGTCATGAATATGTAAGTTGAGGACATAATGAAACAGTGCTTAATTTATTGAGAACTAAAGACAAAAAAGATGTTGAGCTTGTATTAGATTCCTCTTACTTGCAGTATCTGAAAACTGACAAAGTAAGGCATTTTAAATTTTGTTATCCACTTGATTATATTTACTGTATTAAAAACATACATTTTGAAATAGTGAAGTCCAAATTAATGAGACTTACTATAGCTTATTTCACTGTCAATATTAATTTTTTTTTAACTTTGTAAGGTATATTTTCTTATTTCCTATAACTCTAACTTATTTCTTTCCTTCATCAGTACCATCAGGCGAATAACAGGTGATCTAGAAATTTTTTTAGAAATTGAAATAAAATTACCTTATTTTTTCTAATCATACAGTGTCAGATAAAGGATTCATGAATTTTAAAGTTAGTTAAAACCCTGTTATTTATTTAAAATCCTATAGTTAGTAAGAAAACAATTATTAGGAAACATTAGCCTTTTAAAACTATGATTAAAAGAAAAATTGAATGAGGTTTACTGCCTTTTTATAAAAAGCACCTTTATTCAAAATTCCATAGCTTGTTTGTTTTTAAGGCTCCTTTTGCCAATTTGTAAATATGGGCATTAGTAATAACCTTTAACAGTTTTTAAAAAAATAATTAGGCCAGGCACTTTGGGAGGCCAAGGTCGACAGATCACCTGAGGTCAGGAGTTTGAGACCAGCCTGGGTAGCTAACATGGTGAAAACCCGTTTCTACTGAAAATACAAAAAGTTAGCCAGGCGTGTGATGCGTGCCTGTCATCCCAGCTATTGGGGAGACTGAGGCAGGAGAATCGCTTGAACCCGGGAGGCAGAGGTTGAAGTGAGCCAAGATTGCGCTATTGCGCTCCAGCTATGGCAACAAGAGCGAAACTCAGTCTCAAAAATAATAATAATTATTATTATTGATGTACTATGTGTATTTCAAATAGATTTGAATCTTTCTGCAACTAAAATGGATCAAAAATTATAGAAAATTTTCCATAAAAAGAAAATTTTGATTATATTCCTATAATCAAAAATTTAGAAATTTTTCCAAAAAAAATTTTCCATTAAAAATCAGTTCATATTATAGAAATGTGACTGACAAACAATGTTGACAAAATATGCCAAAATATTAGGAAACTGCCATTTGCAATTTTCTTCAGCAGATGGCGGCAGAGGACTGCACAGTACATCCAAATTGCCAAGTTTTCAAGCCGTGAAACGATGTTTGCCCCAAAACTTACTTGCTGTAATTTGGTGTTTATGAAGGAGAGCTGATTGACATCACCTTGTGCTGACAGATTTCCTCATGTGTCCAATAGAGTCTATAAGAAACGACAGTTTAATTCTATAGGTATTTTGTGAGATTCTTTCATGTTTTAGGTATTCATGATGATCTTTCTCTTTCAGCAGGCATTAATGATTTTATACCTGATTACCAGCCCTCCCCTATGACTGACTCAGGGCTTAGCTCAAGTTCTACCTCTTCTAGTATCAGCTTAGGAAATAACAGTGCTGCCATTTCACATCTGCACACCACTATCCTCAATGAGGTTGACATCTCAGTGGAGCAGGATGGAAAAGTCAAAACCCTCATGGAATTTATTACCTCAAGGTAACACTGGAAGCTCTTAGCATCCCAACAGTGCATGTGTTAACTCATTCTTTCATTGATCAGGTATTAAGAGCCATAGTTTTTGTTTTCTGAAATGCCACTGATGTGAAATACACAGGTTTGTATTGTGTAGTACTTTGAAAATTAGGATGCAACCAAAGACTCTTCTTTTGTACCAATGCAGTTATACCTCAGAAGGACTTTAATAATATCTGGTTATTTAATGCCCAAAGAGAATGCAGTATTATCTGAACATATATTTCACTTTTATTAGCTACATTATCAATCAATCATCAAATATTTATTTATGGTCTACTCTTTGCAAGGCACTGTAAGTAGAGAAGGAATATAGATGGGGAGAAAGGGCATGGTATTCCATTGCAAGAGCAAAATCATAGGAGCACAAGAAAACAGTATGTTTGGAAATGATGAGGAATCCACTCTGTAACACAGAGAACAGAGAGTTGTTCTAGATGATTCTGGAAAGTTTGGAAGAGTTCAAACTGGAGGGCCATGAAGCCCAGGCCATAAGGTTGTAGATTACATTGAAAATCATTAAGCTGGGGGAAGGGTGGGAGGCATAATTTAATAAATATGTGCAGAAAATCAGCCCCATAACAGTGTGTGGGATGCATTAGAGGGCGAAGGAACCAGAAGCAGCATGTAGTTGGTTCTCAGGGCACTTGGGCCTGTGGTAATAAAGAGCTTAACGGAGGTGGTAGCTGAGAATGCAAAGACATTTTAAAGAAAGAATCAAGGAGACATTATTCTGTCCTAAACTTAACCTGTAGTTTTAGCTAGTAAATTATTCTCATTGCATTTCACCAGTAAATTATTTTCTTTGCATTATAATCTAAATACAGATTATATTTTTACCTGTAACACATAAGCAGTAACCAATATACTTCTCACTTGGCAAAAGTTGGCATCTTTTTCTACTACCGCAGAGAGAATTTGACTGGTGTGATGATAGACATTGAAAATTAGATCTTTCTCCCCTGGCTGTAGATTATTACATATTCATGTACCTAAGTAGCAGCAGTAGACTGTGACCTATTTATTTAACTACCATCCTTTCTAATTGTAAAGATGTCACTTAGGCAAGCATGAGTACAACTGTTAATCACAAGTGAAAAATCCAAGGAAATTACCTCTGTTCTCTATTTTCAGAAAAAGAGGGCCTCTTTGGAACCATGAGGATGTTTCCGCCAAGAATCCTAGCATAAAGAGTGCTGAACAGTTAACTACATTTTTGAAACATGTGGTTTCTGTTTTTAAGCAGTCAAGCTCAGGTATCTTTTAAAAAATATTTCAAATGATATTTTAGTTTTAGTGACATTTTAATGTGATGTCAATTTTTGATAATGCTTAGTAAAAAGTTAATAGTTGATAATGTGATATGTCTAAAATTAAAAATTTCAGATGTTTTCTTTTTTAACTTATTAATGATAACAGATCTGTTTTCACTGAAGAAAAATTAAGTTACTTAAAAATAAGCTATCTATGAATTGCTGGGCTTCCGTGTTTGATGGCATCATAAAATTACAATACAATTGCGTATTATGAAAAAATAACATTAAATGGACATATAGAAATGGGAAACTGAAAAAAAAATTGTGCTAGTATAGGCTTCAGTAATCTCAAATTTAACACATCCTGAAAATCATAGTAAAATTGTATATGTCTAGAGCAATGATTCTCAACTAGGGGATATTTAGCAATGTCTAGAGACAGGGTCACATTATGGGTTGGGGGCAAGGGGTTTCTACTGGTACCTGGTGGGTTGAGGCCAGAGACACTGCTAAACATCACACCCTGCTCAGGGCAGTCCTTCCAACAAATAATTTTCTGGCTTATAAGGTCAGTAGTGCTAAGGTTGAGAAACTCTGGTCTCAAGGATTGCTTCCCTAAAAATTAAAGAGTCATTGAAAATGCAAATGGAGTTTAATCAAAGAAAAAGCATTGACTTATAAATTGTGAGTGCTTGTCTGGTTTGCCAGGTAGTGTGCTAACTGCTGGTTTTAAAATGATTCACTTCTGATTATAAACCCAACAGTATTCTAAAGAACAAGAACAACCTACTTGTTTCCTTTGCATTCACAGAAGGAGTTCATTTGGAACATCATCTTAGTGAAGTTGCTCTGCAAACAGCACTTTCCTGTTCTTCTCGACACTATGCTGGGAGATCCTTTCAGATTTTCAGGGCCCTAAAGCAGCCTCTCACTGCAACTATGCTTTCTGATGTTCTCTCCAGACTTGTAGAAACTGTAGGGGATCCAGGAGAAGATGCACAGGTATTTATTTCCTTACCTTGTTCCAGCAGTTATTGAGCAGCTACTAGTTGTCAAGGATTTACTGTCAATATAGATTGCTATAGCTAGAGCAAGATAACAGGTGTCTAGAATTATAGTCAGATGCTGGGCAGGCAAAGAATTAAGAGACAAAGTCAATTTTATAATTAATATCTAATAACCTAATTAAACTGTTTAGTGCCTATCAGAAGCTTTACACTCTCCCACTCATACACACACACCCCTAGATACTAACCTGGGATGATCACAAGGTAAAAAAGATACAAAGTTAAATATAACGTGGAACATTGATTTTCGTTTTTTAAGATAACTATTTATTGCACTAGAGAACTTCAGTTTGTACAGATGAATTATTTTATTAACACTGTTAGGAATACCGGGGATACAGTGATGAATGAGACAAATTCCTGACATTCTAGAGCTCATATTCTATTGGGGGAAATAAGCCTTTAGTCTTCCAATTATGCATAACATAATTTATCCTATTGCTAATGCTGTGAAAATAATAAGGTAATAAGATTAAAGGAGAGGGAATTGTTTTACATATGATAATCCATCTGAGAAGGTAATTTTTGAAGAGATACTGAAATGAAGTAGGCTCTGTTAGGATTTGGGGAAGAACATTTCAGGCAGAGGAAAATAGGACTAACAAGTGCAAAGGCCCTGAGGCAGAGGAAGTAGGGCTGTTCTGAGGAGCGTCAAGAAATTCAGTGTATCCAGAATACATTGCCGGATGTGTAGCAGGAAATTAACGAGGTAGACCGTTCAAATCATGTAAGGCCTAGTAAGCCCTGGTGAGAGGCAGGACTTCACTGTTAATTGATGGGAAAATACACAGACATTTTGAGGGAAGGTAGGTGATGGATGTGATTTGTTTTTTTGAAAAACTCATTCTGACTTTGGGGTGAAATCTGTAGGAAGGGCAAGAGTGGAGGCAAGAGAGGTCAGTAAGGAGGTTACTGTAAGGGTCCAGCTGAAATGGTGGTAGCTTAGATTAAGGGAAGTTACGGAGGTAGAGGAAAATGGTCAGATTTAGTGTGTATTTAAAAGTAATTCGGCTAGGCGCAGTGCCTCATGCCTATAATCCCAGCACTTTGGGAGGCGGAAACAGGCGCATCACCTGAGGTCAAGAGTTCAAGACCAGCCTGGCCAATGTGGTGAAACCTGTCTCTACTAAAAATACAAAAATTAGCCAGGTGTGCAGACACATGTCTGTAGTCCCAGCTACTCATCACTTGAACCCAGGAGGCAGAGGTTGCAATGAGACAAGATTGTGCCACTGCACTTGACCCTGGGCAATAGAGCAAGACTCCACCTCAAAAAACAAACAAACAAAATTAGTATTTTCAAGACTTGCTAGTGGATTCAGTTTAAATGTGAAAGAAACAAGGATAATTCCTAGATTTCTAACCTGAGCAATTTTGAGTGAATTGTGGCACCATTACAATCAATTTATACACCATTAATTTGATGGGTTTGCATCAATCAGCAAGATCATGTTGCTGAAGAGTTTAATCATGTTGTAACATTAACGTGGAGTTTGTTCTATTTTTAAATCCCATTGGGAAGTTCATTGTAATTTATTTATTCCAGAGCATAATTATTAAAATCTGTCTTTTTCTCCTCAGGGATTTGTGATTGAGCTGCTTCTCACGTTGGAATCTGCAATTGATACTTTGGCTGAAACCATGAAGCATTATGATCTTCTTTCTGCCCTTTCTCAGTAAGAATTTAAACCAGGCAACCTAATATGTAGAGAACTTGAATAGCTAACTATGCATAATTATAACTTTTTAAATTCTAATATTGTTAGTGAGCATCATACCCCCAAATCAGATGGATTACCTGTGGGGAGATGGGCCACAGAGAGGGAGGGCTTGTGAAAAATCCTAGTGCTGATTTTGGCAGTGGTGGTGTTCTGATGTGCTGGTCAGAGATCTTTTTGCTGCACCACTTCATTCCTGCCACATTCAGCATCCTGTTGCTCCCCCGCCCCCACCACAGCTGACCTGGGAGACTTAGGGCTCTCCCACCTTTCACATATTGTTCCTTCTCCCTGCAACTGCCTCTCTCCCCACTTTCTCTGCCTTGCAAGCCCAGAATTGACTAATCCTTCAAGTCCCATCCCAAATAGTACTTCTAGCTAAGCATTTCTAACTTCCTCAGGATAGTGCTAATTATTCCATCCTTTGGGTTCTCACGGTGGTTTTTTTTTTTTTTTTTTTTTTTTCATATTTTAATAATAGGAATTAACAGGCTATAAATTTATCCATTCACATATTTATCCCCTCTTCCAAAAGACTTTGTCTAACATCCCTTCCTTTTCTATATGGCTGGCAAACATAAAAAGCAGTCAGTCAATATTTTCTTCATACAAATTGGATGTGAGGGAGGAGGAGAAATCAAAAATAAATTTTTGAGCTTAGCTCTTTTAGAAAGAGTGTGTCATTGGCAGAAATAGGGACATAAGGACCATCAAGTTTGAGGAAAAGACAAATGAAGTCAGCTTTGAACATAATGTATGCCTAAATCCCAGAGCTAAAAGTTATTAGTGACTACTATAACAGAATTTTCTCAACAAGTAGAGCCTCATCTCAACTCAGAGGAAACCATTAGCCTCAGGAGAAAAGGTACTGTTGTACATTTTGTTTGAATTTGGAGGGAAAACTGAAATTTGATTCAACAAAGTCAGATATACTGAAAAATGATTTTTCTGGTACCAGTTACTATTTTTCAGTGTTTTCAGAAGTAAAATTAACATAGCAAAAGAAGTGACTGTGTATGCATTTATCTATTCTTTCTCTTTTTTTTAAGAACCTCATATCATGATCCTATAATGGGAAACAAGTATGCAGCTAACAGGAAAAGCACTGGACAACTCAATCTAAGCACAAGTCCCATTAATAGTAGCAATTATTTGGGATGTAACAGTAATGCAAGAAGTAATTCTTTGAGATTAAGTTTAATTGGTGACCGAAGAGGTGACCGGCGGCGGAGTAACACACTGGATATAATGGATGGACGGATAAACCATAGCAGTAGTTTAGCAAGGACTAGAAGCCTTTCCTCTCTAAGAGAGAAAGGAATGTATGATGTGCAGTCCACTACTGAGCCTACCAACTTGATGGCCACCATTTTTTGGATAGCAGCATCTTTATTAGAATCAGATTATGAATATGAATACCTCCTGGCTCTCAGGCTTCTCAACAAACTGCTTATCCATTTGCCTTTGGATAAATCAGAGAGTCGAGAGAAGATTGAAAATGTACAAAGCAAATTGAAATGGACGAATTTTCCAGGACTTCAGCAGCTCTTCCTTAAGGGTTTTACCTCAGCATCTACACAAGAAATGACCGTGCACCTCCTCAGTAAACTCATTTCTGTCTCCAAACACACATTGGTGGATCCTTCCCAACTGTCAGGTGATGTTAATATAATTGCCCCAGCACTTTGCATTTTATGTAGTGAAATGTAAACTAATCATTTGTTTTGAAATCTACTAATTTCTGCTTTTCTGCAAGTAGTCATGGTTTTTATACCTTAGGTAGCTTAAATTATTTGGTAAAAGCCAAAAAAGAATTAGAAGATCAAGTATCCCAGGATCTTCTGAAAAGAAAATGGTTTCTGTGAACCATCTAAAAAAGTACCTTTAACTTTTAAAATAATGTGCAATAAAATTGGTTATTGTTTGCTTTTTTTTTGTTTTGATAGGCTTTCCTCTTAACATCCTTTGCTTATTGCCTCACTTAATCCAGCACTTTGACAGCCCAACTCAGTTTTGCAAAGAAACAGCTAGTCGAATAGCAAAGGTAAGCAAATGTTATGCTGAAAGATAACACTACAGGGAAATTACTTTGTAGTCCATCTTAAGGGAGGGGGAAATCTCTTAAAAATCCTTTTATTGTCACTTCCCATATGAATTTTGCATTTAAATTTTTATTCTTTTTATGGACATAAAGGAGTTACATAGAAATGGTGTAAGTTACAACTGCTCAAATGACAGTAAATAAAACTATTTAATTAGAGTAACACTCCTCTGAGTCTGAGTCTTTTTCTGCTCTTTTCCCCTACTTCTACTTCTCTTTCTCATTCGTTTATCCACTTCCAAATATTTACTGAGCGCTGGGTTAGATGCTGCAAATACAATGATAAGCAAAGTAGATAGTATACTTTATCGTGGAGAATGAAGTCAAGTAAGTAGACAGTAACCAGAGAGTCTGATTTGGCGTTTTATCAGTGGGGATAGTCAAGGAGCACACAAAGGAAAGTCTTCCGAGAAGAAGTAATATCTAAGCTGACTTAGATCACTATTGAAGAATGGATAGGAATAACGAAAGTAACATCCCTGGATGAGAGGCAAAGTGAGGGGCGGTTCGGGGTTTCAAGTTTTCCAGGCAGAAGAAATCACAGGTGCAGAGGTTCTGAGGAAGAAGAGGGTATAATCTGTTGTAGGATTTGGAAAGTTCTCTGTCTCTTTTTGTTTGCTTTTTTTCTTTTTAACACTCTCTTCATCTTCTCTCTCTTCTTTTTTTCATTCCTTATTTGGCTCTAAAAGAGCCAAATCTAAATCATATGGTTTTAGAAACAGTGACATAGCTGTTTGTAAATTATTTAACATTTGTTTAAAAGTATTATAGCTCTTAATTTTAGAAGAATGTGATTGTGACATTTTATATTTTTAGTAGTCCCCTCTCAAGAATAATAAAGAACTCTCAAACAGCCTGCCTTTTGCTTAAATATAATTCCTAACTTTTTTTGGTCAGTCATTGAGTCTAGAGGAAAAAACGCTTTTCAGACTGAAAATATAAACAGTTCTAAGAAAGAGTTATATAAGTTTACAAGTAGCATACATATCACAGGAAATTTGGTGAACTGGGGGAGGTGAGTGAATAGCAAGACAAGTAAGAAAATTTGGCTAAAGCATCAGGAGAAAAAAAAAAGTTTTCCACAGAAGAGAACAAGCAAATAAAATCCCCAGAAAGAGCTTTTTATGTAAGCAATTTTTAAAAACTGAGATTTGATTAGCAAGTAGCATAGCAAAGGGAAAAAGCAAGCATGCAAGAAGCCAAATAAAACCCCCACTTTCCATGGCCGGGTACCAGCATAGTAAAGAAAATACTGGCAATCCAGTGAATCTCATTAACAGTAATAAGAACCTTTTCACTATCTTGATAAATAACATTTAATAAATGATATGAAAATATTTAATAAAATATGCTCTTAACACCACCCCCAATTAAATTCCTAAATAAATTAGATAGGGAAAGATTCTTAATATAATTATTCTAAAAGCATGTATTTTAAAAGAGCCATTATTTTAGCTAATGGAAACATTTTAGTTTCTTAAATAAAAATGGTGGTGGTAGGAAATAAGCCAAAAGTTGTCTTTTATTCTTGGTTTTTATTAAACTAATCCAATAGAACATTTAAGTATCAGGAGAGGGTGAAAATTATGACTATTAGAAATATATTGCCTTTTGAAAATGATTACTTGCCTAAAAGCAGCTGCATGTATTTGCATTAATAAAGCCTAATAGTCATAGAAAATTTATTAAAATAACTTTCATTTTAATATTTTAATGATACATCATTAGAAAAATTTTGTAAACAAAGATTTTTTTTCCTACATGAGGGATTAGAAAGCAAATATAAGGGGGAAATACATATTGGTTTACTTTGAAGGTTTCAAGAAAATAAAAGGCATAAATCCCCTAAAAAGGGAAGTAGAAGCATTTAAAAGTGGCAGCTGAAACGTGTTAAATGACCACTGCCTGCTAAATGCTGGGGTAACTGAGGAGCCGGCCTCCTAGCCTGAAGGATGTCACAGCTCCTTGAATATCAACCTGCTGATGTCGTGACCACAGTAGGGCCATGGAAATGCCCAAATATCTTTTATGTTTTTAAGATATCAGATATGGCCTTCTGTGATTAATAAATTGTTTTTAAGCCTGTTTTCTTCCCATTGGACAGCACACAAAGGTTCCCTCTCCATAGGCTTTTAGCAGCCTGCAGGATGTGAATTAAATTGGTTCCTTAATTATTCTCTCACTTATAACCTTCTAGAGTAATTTTCTGCCATTATGTGCTCCTTGATTACGCAAATATCCCTAGCTCTACTGTTTGTGCCTTTGGAGAGCACAGAATTTCAAAATGAGGCAACACTTAGGACAAATATTTTTCTCTTTAGTGATTCATTATGGCAAAAATAGCATGCTAAAAAAGTTTGTTATAAAACACACTCTTTTTGGATCATATTTTAACCTGGCATTTCAAAAATGCCAAAATTAAATCTGTCGCTTGTTCTGTTGTGAAATTGCATAGCATATATTCCAAGAAATTTTCTCCCTTTTCAAAAAATAGATTTTTAAAAATCATTCTTTAAAAAAAAATTAAGAATATAAGAATTTGATAAGAATGTTTTATTCTTCAGGAAAGTTTTTTATGTTTTAAAGATTTTAACAAATTGTGAAGTTATAAAATTATGTGATTTTTAATAATGTGTTAAATTACTATATTTTGAAATGCAAATAGGAAATACCGACCAATTTCTTTTTTCTTTCTGATGTCTGTTTATGGGTAAAAGACTGCTGCATGAAATAAGCTGCTTTCAATGATTTTATAAAATAACTTCCCAGGTACTGTGTTAATAGTCTGTGCACGGCCTTGCATAATCTTTAATTTTGTGCTTGTTCCATTATAGTGTCCTAATGATGAATTTGAGGTCCTCCAAGCCTATTAAACATATTCTGAATTACCAAAATTAGTGATATTTATTTGAAAGTTGAAGACGTGTATATTTAAAAGGGCAATTTCTTTACCAAATGCTGTAGGTAGTTGTAAAAATACAAACAAAACATCAGTAAGATGGAAGAATAAGTAAGGAAAAGGAAAACGAAAAGCAGAAATGACAATGAGGCTAGCCCTTTATGACAGATTGGTGTGTAGGAGTAGCATGGCCCTTTTCCAGTTCTGCAGGGCTCAGTTGTTCCCTGGGAGAGGCCAGGGAACAAACAGGCTAAGAAGTGTATTCGGTCAGTAAGATTCCCCCCAAACATTAGTTAGTTCAGATTCCTTAGTATTGTATCAAACAAACGTGGGAGTCAGTACATTTTGGAGTAGCTTCTAAAAGATTGGCCAAGGATCGTAAAGCTTTAGGTGATTTCCTGAAGAGTGGTTTGGGGTCCACCATTGGGGATTTTGGACTCCAAATTTTATCAGAGCCCTAGTGATATCCTTTGACTATGTCACACATGTTGAGGCTGTTTGCAGCTGACCGCTCTACTGAGACACCATGGACACAGCTGGAGGCTGAAGCATTTCCTCCCAGTCACAGCAGCTCGGAGCCTCCCTGAGAATTACCTAGTTACGCCTGCCTGTGTATGCACTTGTGCACTGATCCATCCTGGGTTTGACAAAGCAATTCCAAAATGATGTCCCAAGTTCACAAAACCATACATAGTTTCTGCCAGAGACAGTTTTACAGATCTTCAGACTGAAGAAGGCCATATTATTTAATACCCACAAAGATATTTGACATATTAATCCTCTTCCTGTACCATCTCTTATTATTCTCTGAAGAATGCCTTGTGCTTTTTTCTCATTTCACTTTTCTACTGTATTGAAGTAAAATACATTAAAACCATTATACATCTAAATTATTTCATTAAGCAAATACATTTACCATAAAATCAAGTTCAACTTGGTGTCGTTATTTTAAGTGAATGAAATAATTTTATTTGTTTTCTAGGTTTGTGCAGAAGAAAAATGCCCAACACTTGTCAATCTGGCACACATGATGAGTTTGTACAGTACGCACACATATTCCAGAGACTGTTCTAACTGGATCAATGTCGTGTGCAGATACCTGCATGACTCCTTCTCAGATACAACATTTAATCTTGTGACATATCTTGCAGAGGTAAATTTACCAAAAATATATATGTTTTTATTTACACTATGTGTGTGTGTGTTGTGTGTGTGTGTATTTCTAACTACCCTGTAGTATCTTTTCAAGTTGGATTTATTTGCAGAAGGAGCACCAATATTAACTGATACTCAAATTGTCCAAGAGTCAAAATAGATAATAATTTTTTAAGATAAAAATATAAGTAATTCCTATCAAGTGTAAAAGAAGTTTTTATTAAAGGTGGGTTGTTTCCATGTCCAGTGTTTATATCTTTATTTGCTGTCCTTAAGTGACATGAAATTCAAAATAATGTACACTTTACCTAATTAAAAATGGAGAATGCATTTTTAGTGGTCCTGATTCTAGAGAATGGTTATAATTTTTATTTTTACAAAATTAGGTTTTAGCTTAGAAATCTTTTCTAGAATAATAATTACAGCATACCAAAGTATTTCTGCTGGAAAAGTTCTTAGTTTGATGATACATTTGCTTCCTATCTAAAATATAATTTTGAGGCAGTAAAATATGGATAATAAAGTAGCCCTAGAACAGCATAAAAAGTTAATATTTATTTGATGCTTAAGAAATAACTTTATGCCCAGAAAAGTAAATTACTAAATAGATAGGCACAAAGCAAAAGTCAAAAGCAAGAGATTCCTAGTCACTAAAAATTTTTGTCAGCTTATAATAAATAATACCTACCAAATTAGTTAAAGAATTAAAACACTATGATTTAGATGAAAAGTTATGGTCTATTTCTCCTTTCTGAACCAAGGAAAAATAACAGTAATAGATGCTGCCTTTTACTTTATTAGTCTCTAGATTTCCAATTCACCTAACTATAAACTCATGGCTAAATCTGTGTTTTTCAACCTCTTAAATGTAAATATTGAGTTTTTGTTAAACCTAATTAAAGTATACTTTAATATTACTTTTAATATTATTTTTAGCTGTTAGAAAAAGGATTGTCCAGTATGCAGCAATCATTACTACAGATTATTTATAGTCTGTTGAGTCACATTGACCTGTCTGCAGCCCCAGCCAAGCAGTTTAATCTGGAGATCATAAAGATTATTGGCAAATATGTACAGGTGAGTGATCACAAAATTTACATGTAACCTTGTTCATCTCAAAATGACTTACAATCACACAATATTTCGGAAATGCCTTAAATGTCAAAGAATAGGGAAGTGGTTCAACCATAAGGCATGTTTTTAGGATATTTACAATATGGAAAATGTTCTCAATATGAGTGACAAAAACCAGAATCTGAATTGGTATGATTTCTACTTTTCATTTTAACAATTTCTGTAATGTTCTCTAATGACTGGAAGGAATGCACATACACATTGCAGCAGGCACAACTCTGGAAATTAGGACTGTGACTCATTGGTTGTTTTTGTTTTTCTTTTGAGACAGAGTCTTGCCCTGTGGCCCAGGTTGGAGTGCATTGGCGCAATCTCGGCTCACTACAGCCTCCACCTTCTAGATTTAAGCGATTCTCCTGCCTCAGCTTCCCAAGTAGCTGGGATTGCAGGCATGCATCACCACACCCAGCTAGTTTTTGTATTTTTAGTAGAGACAGGTTTTGCCATGTTGGCCAGGCTACTCTCAAACTGCTGACCTCAGGTGATCTGCCCGCCTCAGCCTCCCAAAGTACTGGGATTACAGGCGTCAGCCACCACACCTGGCCTCATTGTTCTTTCTTTCTTCACACCTTTCTATTTTTTTTAACAAGGTTCCACAGAGTGGACATACACTGCTTTTAGAAACAGAAAACCTCTTTGAAGAGTTTGTATTTTAGAGCTTTTTTATGTGTCAATAAAAAGTCCCAGATATTTAAGACTAGAAAATAAAACTTGATTTAAATGTACATGATGACAATTCGGCCTGGTCTTTGCTGAATTTCACCTTTGAGCTATCAGTTAAGAAAGGCATTGCTGAGCAGATCAATAGGATGGATACAACTCATCAAAGAGAACAAGCTCATTAACACCCTTAATAGATTAATATGTTATGTTTATACTCCAGTTATGTTTTCATTCACTAGGGCAGAACTTATAAAGGGAAATACTTAGCTGGCAAGGAATTTATTCTAGTTCATATCTGAAAGTAATAAAACTGTAGTAAAATGTTTTCAGTGGTTCAGTTATGTAATCCAGATTACCTCTTACATTCCCTTGAAAATTAGTGATTGCAAGTATCCAAAAAATGGAAGATTTTCTGGTTGGCTCCATTTATCTTCCGTCTTACCCCTCATTGAGTGAGGCTTTACTAGACAGCAATTATATCTCTTTCTACAGCACATTTCTCTTTTCTTCTTAACCTTAAAAAAAAAACTTACCAAATATGTGCTATGTTTCACATAGAAACAGATACCACGTTGAATTTACTACCTTATAGGTACCTTTCTTATCTTTAGAACCACAAGCTCAACTTGCCAGTGGACAAGCAGGTAACTAGAGGGAGCATAGATCTGAGGCTATGTGAACTGCACACTCCCTGTCTCAAAGGAGCCACACAAGTTAGCTTCCCCTGGTGGTTTTCATGTTAGTATATGGGTCCAGTGTGACCAGACTTCCCATTTTTAGAGAAGCTGGAAATCTACATTTTTCTGTAAAATCATCTGATTTTAAAATGCTGACTCAATTTTTTTTTCCAGATTTCTTTGTAAATGTGTGAATCAAGATCATATTTAGCTGATGGCTCATCACAGCTGCTGGCTTGTGCTTTACTAAACATCTAAATATTTCACAGAATTGAGTTATTGATAATCTTTTACATTTAAACACAATCAATAATATAATATATGAAAATATCCCTAAAGTTTAGCATTTCATGATGCCCAGAGACTGTAATTATTTCTGTCAGAAAAAAAAATGATGATTATTTCTACTAGGTCATGATTTTGTTACATGTAAACTTTTTTTTTTTTGAGAACGGAATCTCACTCTGTTGCCCAGGCTGAAGTGCAGTGGTGCGATCTTGGCTTACTGCATCCTCTGCTTCCCAGGTCCAAGCAATTGTCTTGCCTCACCCTCCCAAGTAGCTGGGATTAGAGGCACGTGCCACCATGCCTGGATAATTTTTGTAGAGATGTTGGCCAGGCCAGTCTCAAACTCTGACCTCAAGTGATCTGCCCACACTGGCCTCCCAAAGTGCTGGGATTACAGGCGTGAGCCACTGCTCCCAGCCTTTAAATTACTTTTTACATTGCTGTTCTTAAAATGTCACAGTGTCATGTAGACCTTTTTATTATCAAATATTTTGTGTTTTGAGTGTCTTCATAGCAAGATGTTATGAACTCAATTAGCCCAGTTTTGCCAAAGCTTTTTTACTTCCTTTTTTTAGTGTTTTAATGGTACTTTTCTTTCCTCAGATATCAGCTGAGAAAGAATATGTATAATGTAATACAAGGTTGAGATGTGATTTTTGACACCATAAATAAGAAGTAGTTTTTTCTATGTATTCTTTTCAATGGGTGGTAAAAGAAAGATACTATAAATTCTTTAACAAACATTGACTCTTCTCTACATGTATATCTATCTCATAAATCATTCCTAAATTATATTGGTAGGAATATACAAAACTAAGACAAACAGAAAAAAAATTTTTTTTAAAGCCAAAATATGTAGGGAAAAAACCTCGCCCTATACAACTCAGTAATCCCTGAGAACATCACTTTAGCATGGTTTTTTTTTTTTTTTTTTTAAAGATGGGGTTTCACCATGATGGCCAGGCTGGTCTTGATCTCCTCACCTCAGGTGATCCACCCACCTCGGCCTCCCAAGGTGCTGGGATTACAGGCGTGAGCCACCTCGCCCGGCCTAGCATGGTATTTACATTCAATATTTGGGGCCTGGGCCATCAAGAAAAAAAAGTCCTAAGTATATTTTAGTATTTTTATGTCTAAAAAGGCAAGTATTTATTTTTAAAAATTTTATCTGCAAAGACTTAAAATACTAAAATTTTAGAGTTTCAAAGCTATAAACTTTATTCACCTAAAAGTCGACATATATACAAATCTTTTTTTTACCACTACTGCCAAATTACTGTGTCAGTCTGTCCAAATTAATGATAATTACAAAGCACTTATTGGGAGAAAAGCAAGAGATTTGAGTTGGGCAGCATTATTACACATACGGTGTCTGATAAATCTAACAGTACAAAAAATAACTTGTGTTTTCTTTCCTTTTGTAACTCAGACCTTTCATTAAGGATCTTAAAAATGAATAATTTTTACAAGTGTTTTTGTAGAAATAATATTTTCATGATGTACAGTAAATTTTTGTTCTTCGTTGAATGTGCATTTGTAACTTTTATGTGTCAACTATTTTTTAAACCAGAGTCCTTACTGGAAGGAAGCCCTTAACATACTAAAGCTGGTGGTGTCACGCTCTGCAAGTCTCGTCGTACCCAGTGATATCCCCAAGACCTATGGAGGAGACATAGGTTCTCCTGAAATATCCTTCACTAAAATTTTTAATAATGTTTCTAAGGAGTTGCCTGGGAAGACCTTAGATTTTCATTTTGATATATCTGAGGTAAGATGCTCAGGAATGATGAAGATACTCTACTAGGAATTTTCATTCATTTATTCATTCTTTCATTCAACAAACATTGATTGAGCTCATACTCAGTGTTAGAAAAACAGGGTGGGGTTGTGGGGAAGGCCTGCTGTCAGAAAGTTTACTGTCTGTTGGGGAAACAGACTGTACATTCCCCATCTAAAAGGTGCATCACAACTTAGCTTTCCAGCAGCGGTTAGCCCAGCAACTAAACATTGCGATCAGCGCTCGGCTGGAGTAAATTAAAAGTGCTAGGGGAATATGTAGCATCTGCCTAAAGGAGTGGTTTCAGAAAGGAGCCAACATCTGAGCTGAGTGTTGAAAGACAAGTAATCCTAGACCAGGCATATACGGCAGTTTTGGGAGGGGAGGTTAAATGCAAAGAAATGGAGAACGTGTGAATGAAGGCTTGTTAAGTGCGAGAAAGCATTACAAGGTATTATGTACTACTTGGAAGTGTCCAGAATTCAAAAAAACGCAGGTGGAGTGCGATGAGAGATGCGGCTGAAGGCATAGGAAGGGGCAAGATCATGGGGCTCTTGCATTCCATAGTAACAAGCTGGTTTTGTCTAAATCAGTAGGAGCTCTTAAAGGATTTTTAGTTGGCATATTAGGGTTTGCATTTTAGAAGGATCACTCTAGTCATTATCTTTTGGGCAAAAGATAATGTGGGACTGTCCCAGGAGAATTGCAGAGGTAATGAAGAAGGAAGAGAGATGGTTTACAAAAAGACCAAGGAAGTAACTGATGGGATTTAATGGGAAAGTGGGGAAGAGGCATCAAAGTTTGTTGAATGGCTTGACAGGTAGATGCATGTTACACCATTCAGAGAGTGGGAATGCAGGAACAGATCTTATAGCAAGGAAGGAGAGGGCAATGAGTTCCATCTTGGACATGTTGACTCAGAAGTGTCCAAGAACGATACTTTTAAAGGAGGTGACTGGCGGTCAATTAAATTTGGGGATCCGAAGTTTTAGAGGAAAACTTGGGTGGATGTAACAAATTAAGGGTTTTGGTGTTGTGTAAGTGGGTGGCTGAAACCATGGAAGGATTACTAAAAAGAACACAAGGATGAAAGGAAACCTGAGAAGCCAGATATTTTAGGGCTAGAGGCAGGGCCCACCAGTCTGGAAGGAACCCTGGACCCTGGCTGTGCTGCATGTTAATATAAATCTCATTTAAAGATTTCTCATCCTTGCTGAGAGTACAATTTATTTTCCCCCTCTGGCACCTGAGCCCACTCTTGGTGCCTTGGTGCTATTTAAACGGTCTTTCAGAAGCCGAGGGAGGAACATTTCAAGAAGAAAGTTACTGATCAAGTATTGTAATATTGAGAAAAATTAAAAATTGAAGCTCTACTTACTTTTTTGTTGATTAGAATTATATAGATAAAAAATGTTATATTGCAGGTTGATCTTGGCATTAGAATTTATCCTAAACTTAATTTTTTTAGATAGAAAGTATATGTGTTACTAATGTTTTCGTTAATAACATCTGAGAATTTCTAACAAGGTGTATGTATAATAGCATGGGAATATGGTAGAGAAGCTTGGTTTTCCTTTTCCTTCTGATTCAGAAATCAATTGTGTAATTTAATTATGTTATTTGAAGCAGTGATGCAAATTCTCAAAACATTTTATATACTTAATTGGTTTCATCAAAAATTCCTCAGTACCTGCCATGCATAAGTACTGAAGATATACCGAAGGTATAGAGGCAATCACACATGGTCCGAGGGATTCATGTGTGGTAGGGAAGTCAGGCACATAAACAGTTTACAGTCAGCATGGTAAGTGTCCAAGTTTGATTACACAGAGGTGGTGGTGGTAGAAGAGAAGGCCTCCTTGGAAGTCTGGAGTCATCATTAAAAGATAATTAGAAGTGGCCGGGCGCGGTGGCTCAAGCCTGTAATCCCAGCACTTTGGGAGGCCGAGGCGGGTGGATCACGAGGTCAAGAGATCGAGACCATCCTGGTCAACATGGTGAAACCCCGTCTCTACT